TTATAAATGTAACTTACCAAAATTGACATAAGTTACTTAAGCTTAAGTTTTTGAGAATAACGAAAAGACTGGTGATTAAAGATCAATAATGACGAAAAGACTGGAGATCAAAATAAACAAAAAAACTGGAAATTAAGAATAGCACAAAGACTAAAGATCAAGAATAATGAAAGACCAGAAAAAACTAATCAAAAAGACTAAAAAAAGAATAGCAAAAAGACTAGAATGACTAAGATCAAGAATAATGAAAAGGCTAAAAAAAACTGGAGATCAAGAATAATGAAAATGCTAAAAAAAACTGGAGATCAAGAATAACGAAAAGGCTAAAAAAAACTGGAAATCAAGAATAACGAAAAGGCTAAAAAAAACTGGAGATCAAGAATAAAAAAACTGAAGATCAAGAAACAAAAAGGCTGGAGAAGAATAAGAATATAGAGTATATCAGAACAATTCGATATAGTAGATTATCAATGGATACAAAATATGAGTATGATCATTAGGGATACTCAGAAGTAATAGTAATTTACTCTGGTTGTTAAAATCTGTTGATGTTATATCTACAGGGGGCATGCCTGGAGCATAAAGGAGCATACCTTTTGCAAAGGCATGCCCCCCCAGGCATGTCCCAAAAATTTTCCATGCTCCTAACCCTAGGTGTAGCCTATTAGTCAATTTATAAATATAGTGCAGATTATATAATAAATTCTAATAGTAAAGATTTTTTATAGATCTATGGTAGTAATAATAAAATATATAATAAAATTCAAGCTGCAATAACTCTTAAACTAGCAAACTCACATAGATAAAATTATACTTGTTAGGTTTGTTTTAAAATACTCTTTAAAGTAATAATACTCTTTTTTTTGGGTTCTTACAAATTAATCGATATTTTTTATCTTAACAAGTAAAAAAAAACTAAAATCATTATGAGATTTGTGTGTTATACAATATGCAACGATGACAGACAGAAATCTCAATATTACGTTTTTAATATTTTTATTAAAAAAGAATCAAAAACAAGAATTTTGCATAGAAACTGAGAGTCTTCTATTATACTCCAAACAATGAAAAACAAAAAAAAGGCGTTATTACTATAAAGAGTATGTTAAAATGAACTTGTTAGATATAATTATATTTCTAGAGGTCTTCTGGTTAAAGAGTTATTGCAGTTTGTATTTTATATGTTTTTACTATAACATTTGTTGATCTATAGAAAATCTTTACTATTAGAATTTACTATATAACCTGTACTATGTTTGTAAATTGACTGATAGGCTACACCCCAACTAGTTACGGCCCAATTGGCGGTCCTACACAGTCTACCGAATCTGTACCAACTCAGATCATACCTGTACAAATCCAGATCTTGACTCGCGCCTATCCAAAACCAATTCGTACCGATCTGGTACATTTTTCTTATAGTATGGAACTTTGTATTCAGCAATGAAAATAGAAATATGTATTGATAATTTTACTATTTTATTTGTTGCAAGACTTTCAGTCTCTATAATTTCTTGCAACATATCACGTATGTTTATTGATGATCTAAGCATTTTGATTGGCTATACTATATAAACATATTCGATTCTTTTTAATATCTTTTATAACTTCTTAGTGATGATTTTTCAATAACTATTTAATAAAATTTGTTAAATATTTTTTTATTTTAATTATATACATTTCAAAATAAAAAAAAAACTTTATCAAAATTTAATTCATATAATTATAAAGAAAGTTTTAGTAAAAGTTTAAAAAAAAAAAAATCTTTGAATATCAAAAAATACTAAAATCAAGTAAATTTTTCTTTTTTTAAACTTTAAGATTTTTCAAAACCTATCAATTCAAATTTATAATTTTTTTTTATTTTAATACTATAAATTTATAAATTAAAATAAAAAATTTTTATTAAGTTTATTTTTTTTTTTAGTATTAAGATAATTTTTTTAATCTGGCAATATTTTATTAAGTTAATTAGATTATATTACAATTATAATAAAAGTACAACTAGCTATATTTACACTTTTGGCGTCTAATTTAAGTAGTTTACAACTAAGCTATTTTACTTAAAGTTTTATACTAGATATCATATTTGTAACTCAACTATAGAAGTTACTTATTTAAACTTTTTAATTATACTATTAGTTTTCTATTTACTTATTATAATTACAAATAATACTTACTATATATAATAAAATTTGTGAGGTCTTTTAATTTGGCAGTTTACCTTAGAACTTACTAGTTTTAGCTAGTTTATCCTTAAAATAAATCTAATAAAGTAGTTAATATTCTATATATATATTTATTTATATATTTAGTTACTTCTTTATATTAATATCTATTATTTTACTATTATTATTTTTTATCTTTTAAGATACTGCTAAAATATAATTTGTATTTTAAACTACAACCTTTCTAATTAGTCTTCTATTACTTATTTTTGTTTTTGTATAGATTTATATTTACTTTAGTATTTATATTTGAACTTTTATTTTTCTATAAATTCTTTACTAGTCTTTTTTTTGCTTCTAATTATAAACTTAGAAGAATTAATCTTGATCTGGCTTTAGATATCTTTAGTTTATCTTTTTCTAAATGGGTGTTGACAAGGAAAAACAGAGAATTCTAGGTTTTTCAAAATTAATTTTACAGATCAAACTCTGAAAAATGTGATTGGTACATGATTTAACCACACCATATATCTAACTGATAATAATATAAATAATTTTAAATAAAATTTATTATCGTTATAGAAATTATCGTTAACTTTATTTTTTTACAATTTTTTTTTTTTGAACTTTTACTTTTCTCAATTTCTTACTAGCTTTTTTTTCTTTTGCACGAGTCTCTTTCAAATATCCAACCCTCTTTATAACACTATCCGATAGTTTTGGACAAAGTTTATCATGAAAAATAATTGGACAGTATGGGCCAATTTTGCTTCACAAGTCTACTTGTTTTTCTGCTAGAAGTTCTTTTCGTGGAAGCACTAGAGAGTTTAGATAATTTACATCAACACCTTGTTTAATTAACTGGAATTCATCCCAAGAATTTGTAACCTTTACTTTGGCTTTTATTATACCAGACCTTTCACAACTAAATTGAAAAAGATGATATTTCTGAATTGCAAAAAGCTTCTGATAGAATTTACTAAGTGCAGTCATCCAATCTCAAAATAGTTCTGTATCATCTTCTAAATTTACAGAAATGTTGTTATGTGAACTTCTTTCTATTACTTCAGCAAATTGGCCAATACACCAAATCTCTGATCTAGAATATTTTCTTTTTGTATTGCCAAACCCATGATCAACAGAGTTTCTAGTATGGCCCTTAATTTGAAAACGATACTCATTTTCTTAAAATATTTGAGTATCACAAGCCCAAAGAAAATACCAAAGAAGGCATGAATTTTTATTTTGCCCTTTACAATTATCTGCCTATAATCAAATTTTCTTGGCTTTACCTGTTATAGAAATAAGAAATAAATTTACCATTGAGGTAACTTTATTTGCTCCTTTTGAAGCTTTATCTTCAGTATAAATTATGTGTCAATGCTTGCCAATTCCTTCATCGACTAAACTAAACTGATATACTTTCAATAATGATAAGTAATACTATCTTCCAGGTTGTTGAGGATTATGGGGCAATTCTACATTTTGAGCAAAATTGAATAAAAAGACACGAAACAAAGATTGGTCACAATCTTTTGCTGTTTTTACATCATCTTTGTAGATCTCTCTCATTTTTCGGTAGTCCGATATATAGTTTGCTAGCTTTTCATCAAGATCCTTATTTATATAATTAACATTTTCATTTAATGCACGTTTAAGCAAAGTGCATTTGTCACATACATCCTTGGATAGATTTCAAATAGTAATTTTATTAAGTTCAGAATCACCTTGCCATATTTTTCATAAAGTTGAACAACTTTTAAT